CAGATGTGGATCAACACATTTTATGTCAGCCCCTGATCCTGGAAATGACTTCAGACAAATGACTTAAGCTCTTCATTTCTCAGTTTTCCCAATCAGAAACAGATCACTGACTTCACTAGTGTAAAATGGGCATAGTCTGACTTCCTTACTAACATCATAGGACTTTTGTGAGGAGTAAATGTGGGAAGGAATGTGTGTAGGTAATACCAGTGCAATACACTTAGGAGTCAAACAGAAAAATGGACACATGACAATAAAACCCTTCAAGAACCCAATACATCAAAAGTTGCTCAGATCTGTGGCTCCTTCTCCTGTCACATTAAAAAAAAAGCTAAGTGACAGAATGGAAATGATTTGAGTTTTACTAACACATCTCTAATACAATGGGGGCATTCTCTTTGGTGATGGAGATTACCTCTGAACTATAAAAAAAAAAAAAAAAATTGCTAAACTGCCACTACGGAGCCACTGTCACAGCTTCAATAACCATGCAGCAGAGTGCAGGGTTTAGCAGAGTGAGTGGTTTAGAAACAAAACATGAAGCATTCTGTAAAAATTGTTCTTATTTCCTAATAATACCAACAGAGGAAGATAAAGAGGAATGACAGAAATAGATGAGGCAAAATACGTAATTAATAGTTCTTTCTAATAAACTAAGATGCTGAACCCATCACATATCCTTAAAAGAAAAAAGACAGAAATATCAGGAAATAATCAAGATTTTGAACAAGTGGCACAGAGGTAGTAAAAACCTAAAAACATAGGGGCCAGCCCCAACAATACAAGAGGGAGACTCTTAGATCCTAATATCAGAGATGATTTAGGGAGCACACAGCCAGTGCATCTTCAGAGAAAAGCATATAAGGAAAAGATGTTCTTAAAAAAGAGAAAGTTGTGGTATCATCCCTTCCATAAAAAGTAGAGAAAGCTTTCCTGAAAATCCCTGACAACTCCAAGGTCATTCCAGATTCAGAGGAAGAAAAATATGTGTTAGAAAAAAGACTGTACCTAGGTATATATGTACATATGTATACATAGTAATTAATACATTTTATAAAACTATAAAATATAATTAATCTGTAAGTTTATATTCTTATAGGTCTACACTTAATAATGCAGACTTTAACCTACAATCTACATTATTATCTAACCTATAACCTATATTATATAGGTCTTTAATCTCTATTAAAGAAGGAGAGGAAAGACTGAATCCTAGAGCACCCTGAAATTTGGAGTATGGCTAGAGGAGAAGGAAGCAACAACTGAACATGAAAAGGTAACTAGCAACAGCCAGGGGGGAGTCTAGGAGCAGACGGCAGGCAATATTACTTCCTCCACTTTCTAGACCATGAACCAAGTTTAAAGGGATTAAGACGCATAATTTGGGGACTGGGGGAAGGGCTCAAGTGGTAGAGCACCTGCCTAGCAAACATGAAGCCCTGAGTTCAGACCCCAGTGCTGTAAGAAAAAATAAATAAATAAAGTAAGAAGTATAACTTGGGAGTTAAGGTGTCTGAATTCAAAACTGAGCCCATTATCCAGCCCTGCCTCTTCTTCACACACACACACACACACACGTCACCCTACTATTTGGAGCATGGTGAAAGCTACATGGATAGACTACTGCCCCTTCTTTCCAAAGTAAAAACAAGAAGGCAATTTGTTGCCAGTTCCGAGTGTACAAGTAACAAAATGTACCGCCACACAGTCTAAACCTTACAGATTACCTTAAAGTTGAAAAAGCATTTAAAGTATTTTTAGGTTAAAAAATAACTTTAAAGCCAAAGAAGTTAGTAACTGAAGATCACTCGCTCAGGAAGTGTTCTCTTCAACTTTGTAAATTCAAGGGAAAAACCTGAAAAAAAAAATCTATGCTCATTCTGTTCTCTGACCTGTGAAAAGCAAATGTTGAAGGAAGAAAGCGCATCGAATTTGAATTATCTCAAATGGAAATTCCTACTCTGGGACTATTCAGAGAGAAGTCACAAGATGGAAATGATTCTGGGAAAATGTCCTAACAGGGAGCAGTATGGTGGAATAACCTCTCAGCAGCCACTGTGTGGTGCCTGGAAAAAATACCCCACCTTTCCCCAAGTCAGAGCCTTCTTAGGGGCATATGTGTCAACCTTCCCATTCTGGAAATCAAGGAACCATATTATAAAGGAGGAACAAAGGAAAGTCTTTTAACTAGCCTGCCAGTTTAGTTTAACTCCGGGTAATGAATTCTCAGGAACCACAGGGAAGGGGCCTTAGAAGGCAGCACATGGTGAGTTTGGTCCACTCTGTCAATTCAAGATTAACCTCGACAATGAGCCTCAGAAATGAACCAGCTCTGTTCTGAAAATGGAGACCCCTGCATAAATGTGCATCCATGTCACTTGCCTTCTTCAATAGAACATGTATATATCTTTGTGACAGTCACAGTCTGTATTTGAAAGCTTGTCCAATGGCCCAACACAATAGGGCAGTTAGTTGAAGAAGCTGAAGCTTAACTAACTGTGACTTCAACTAACTACTGGAGTGGATTACGGAGAGAAAGGGAAGCCAGAAAGTCCAGAGAAGAAATGCAGTCCTTTCTGATTAGAAACAGAGGATAGCTAAACAAGGCTGTGTGGCGAGGGAAGGAGTTCTGCTGCTGTAATCCCAGCTACTCAGGAGGCAGAGGTAGGGGGATCATGGTTTGAAGCCAGCCTGAGCACAGTTAGCATGAAAAAAACCCCTAAAAGCAACAGGACTCGGGCATGGCTCAAAGGGTAGAGAACTTGCCTAACAAGTGTGAGGCCCCAAGTCCAATCCTTAATACCAGAGAGAGAGATAAAGAGCTGTATCCCCATATTTACTGTGACACTATTTACCATACTTAAAATATGGAATCAATCAGCCTATTAACAGACAAATAGATGGATAAGATACATATCCAGAATGAATGAAATCTTTCATTTCAGCCAGAAAGAATGAAATCTTGTCATTTGCAGCAAAATTGGTGGAACTGGAGTACATGTTAAGCAAAATAATCCGGACTCAGAAAGACAAGTGTCACATGTTCTCTTTCATATATAGAAACTTAAAAAAAGAGTAACTTGAAAGTAGAAGAGAGATTGTTAGGGACTAGGAAAGGTGCCAGGGAATGGGGTGAGGGTAGGGAAGGGTTGGTGGATATGATTGATGCATGATGAGTACAGTGAACCCCATTAATCTGCACAATTAATATATTAATAATTATAATAACCAGAAGATGCTATCAGTAAAATTTTCTAAAATAAGGCACATTTATTCCCAAGAAATTTGTTCTAATTCTTTTGTACAAACAAAAAGCCCATGTTTTATATTTGATCTTTAAAATTCAACTAATGGGAGATTTCTCATTCATTTATAAATTCGTGGATCTATTCATTAACAAACAAACATTTTTACATGTTTCTCTCCCAAATCCAGCCAATTATGACAATGTAAAGAGACAGTGATGGTCCTGTTAACTAGAACGAGGGAGAAGTGCCTGGCACATGGGCTCCTCAGAAAAGGTCTTCCCACTCCTCCTGGAGTCCTCACTCACCTGGAGGAGGGCATATGCCTCATTTAACACTAGGGCATGAGAGTAGAGGCCTGGCCTGCTCCTCGGGGCCTCAAAATTCACCCATGATATGAAACCAGCAGAGATTGCTCACTGGCTAAAGAAATCCGCAGGTGCTCAGGGCTACTCAGTAGACAGAGGATTTCACACTTCCTCTTTGGGAATTATATTCACAATGGCTTTTGGTTTACCTTCTCTTTCTCTCTTGATATTATAAATCTGCCTTCACCTGTTCCACCTTTTCTCTGTTTCTCTTCTTTCTTGCCCCGTGGCTTTCCTGCTAACATTTGTCAGTGCAATCCATGCTACATCCCAACTACAGCCATGCTACTTGAGGAAGAAAATAGAACCATAAAAAAAAGTAGCAAAACTCTGAGCCAGGAATCCTACTAAGTAGTTTTCGTGTATTACCCCATTTAGTGCTCACAACAAGCCCATGAAGAAACCACCATTTTGTCAAGAAAGGAAGAAAGATTTGGAGACACTAAGTAATTGCCCAAGGTCAAATCTCTTGAAAGCATCTGACCCCCAGACTCCAGAAATGCAATTTAAACAGCCACAATTTCCTGCCACCAACATGAGCTGCCATAAACATGTACAATGGACAAAGTATGGTGTTCCTCAGATGGGAAGGCTGTGGACATTATTTTTAAAGGTAAGAATTTTGCAAGGACAGCAGTCAGAGAATTACTGTAGGGTTCTATCACGACCAAACAGGAGGACACCTTCAAAAAAACCTGGAAGTAAGAGTGTCCTCTAGGAACTAACTTAACAAATCAACAAGAGGATCCAGACAAACACAAAGGATGCATATGGACAAGGACAGCAAACCAGAGCCAGCAGGCAATGACTGCATAACAAATTTAAGCAGACGTGCACTTCAGTAGGAAGCATGGCAAATCTCAGAGCTGTAACAAAAGGAGTCAGTAATGCAAACGTCATCTGAACACATCAAAACCCTACGGGAGAAATCCAGTAAGACTAAGAACAGCCACCTGCCAAATAAGTTCCTATTTTGGAGATGGACTCGCAGGCACTGGAGTGAGGCAAACATAGTAGCACAGTAACGCACTGATACAACTCACTCCTCTAAGCAGGACTTTAACCACAGGAAAAGAATTTCATCAGACAGTGGTCACCCAATGATGGAAACTTTCATCTAGTGATAAAAGCTTTCTGCAAGCTATTGGCCAATGCCACTGACAAATTTCTGGGTCCATAAGCCTTGTAACTCACCAAGATGAAGGGCAGCCATCCTAAATAACACCCTTTGTCTTCTTTTTTCCTTATTTTGTCAGTCCTGGGGTTTGAACTCAAGACCTCATGCTTGCTAATCAGGCATTCTACCTCTTGAGCCACACCTTCAGATTCTTTGTATTCTTTGAATGACAAAAAAAAAAATTTGATCCCATTTTTTGTGTGTATTTACCTTTTGGCCATCCCTCCCTGGTTCTCCTTTGTAACCTGGAGGTCCTCGGGCTCCCTAAATTAACCACAAAATAAGATTCTGTTAATTTTGGTTTTTGACTCACTACAAATGAGATTTCTACAATAGGTGTAAGTGGACTGCATACTTGCATTCCTGGAGATCCTGGAACACCTGGTGATCCTGAGGGTCCCTGAAATCCCTAAAGAGACATGAACAAGAAATAATTACATTCTATCACATTTACAAAGACCAGCTCTCCATTTCAGGATTCCACTCTTAAGTTTCTTACACTTAAAATCTTCTTAGTGGCTTTTGAAAACCAAAATAGCAAAGCATCAAATGCTTCCTAAAGCCTGGAGGTTTAAACAGATGTAATACATTTTTAACTACCTGGTTAATGGCCATCTGAATTAATCCCTGGAGTTAAGTGAGCCATAGTGAATGTTATCCTACAGATTATATGTATAACAAGCTTTGGACAGCTGCTGATGTTAAACCCAAGAACACTCCTGTGACATGTTCTCCCTCCTTTCCCAAGGCTGAGCTGGATACTAAGGGTGGGAAGACGGGGCAGTCACTTCTAACTCCATTGGTCTTTTCACATGCCCCCAGACGCTGGACCATAGGTAAGAGAGCAGAACTCTTCTAGAAAGAGCACAAGTATTCATTCTTCACTCAGCACCCAGCAACTGAAGTCTTCAAACAAACTTTCAGGCCCTGAACACTTACCTAGGTTCCCAGGTGTGGCGTCAGGTTAACGTGGACCAACTGGCACCTACAAATACGGCAATTTACCACCCTCAATTCACATTCCACCTTTCTTGGTGCTTACTGTTTGGGTGGAGGTGTGTGTAGTCAACAACATGAACACAGACCTCTTTAAGGTTTCTAATTACGTCTTCATTCTATTTGCAGGGGGACGGGGCACTAGGGTTTGAACATAGGGTCTCATGCTTGCTAGATGAGCGCTCTTCCATCCAACACACTCTGCCAGCCCTGCACCTTCATTCTTAAATCCAGAAGCTTTATTTCCATTTGGCTATTAATGCATGTCCACACTGGCCTGCATAACCATCTCCTTCAAAGGCATCTACTCACTTAGAACTGTGTGTGTGTCTGTATGTGTGAGTGTCTATGGGGGTGCACATGTGTGTAAATGTGTGCACACATGTGCACATGTATGTGCATGTATGCATGTGCGTGCATTGTGCATGTGTGTACACATACGTGCACGTGTGCGTTGTGCATGTGTGTACACATATGTGCACGTGTGCACTGTGTGCATTGTGCATGTGTGCACCCATGTGCTTGTGTGTACACATGTGTGCGTGTGTGCACTGGGTGTACATGTGTGTTGTGTGTGAGTGCATGTGTGCGTGTGTGCACTGTTGTACATGTGTTGTGTGTGAGTGCATGTGTGTGCACATGTGTGCATGTGTGTGCTTGTGCATGCACTTGCGTGTGGGTGTGTGCTTGTGCATGCACTTGCGTGTGGGTGTGTGCATGCACATGTGTGGTGTTTCTGGGCATTGAACCAGGGCCTTGCACATGCCGGCAAGTGCTACGTTCCAGCCCCAAACGTAGCTCCGATTTTATGATTTTAGAGACGTGATAATCCCCAGTTTTTCTACTTACATTGCCAAATATCCTTTCTGATCATCTTTGGTAGCTACAATAACGACGACGGCTGCATCTGAAAGTCCAGTCTTGGCTTATTGGTTTTCTCCTTCTACACACATGACATTTCTTACTGTGTAAACTATTTTCTCAGTTACTTCCACAGCAGTAGTTGTGACTGGAATTCCGTCACTGACCATCACCATTTCCTCCATGATCCACTCAGCTCTTCACAAGGTAGATAAATCGTTCCACTTCCCCATGACCTCTCAGATGCACATTCTCTCATGAGTTCCTTTGCCCCAGACAGCAATCAGTCGTGTCACCACCGTCTTCATCCTCCACACAACACCACCTGCAATTCTCGCTGGGTCACGTGCCTCTTGAGATGCGGAGCCAGGTCTAAGTCACCTCTGTACTCATTCCCCTGAACACACTGCCTGGTAGATCTCTGCTGATCACTAAGTGGAAGAAGTCACCTTTAAGTCACTAATACAGCGCCCCTGTGTGGAAAATCTCTTTCCCCAATGAACCACGTAATGTTTGTACAACTTCCAGTAGATAATAAAGTTTTTAGTAATGTGATACGGTTCATGTTCTCAAGATCAGGCAAAACAATGAAGTCAACATACATAACGCTTGATCAGATCTGTCTACCTACCACTGTTGTCACAACTGAATTTCCTTCCTTCAACTACTGTACAATAAGTAGGCCTGAAATAGAATCCCAGCCCTTTCACTGCTATCAGTGAGGAGAGCTAGATAAGAAATGCCAGCACTTGGAAATGTCCTTCAGCTCCTTCAAAACCCTCCAGGCACTCTCAAAATAACCCCACACAATTCACAACACACCAGTGTTTACAACGGTCCACATCAAGTGCTTTACGTCTATTACTCCACGAGCTCTTCACAGCCACACTTTAACATAGGTTCTAAATTATCCCCATTTTCAGATGAGGAAACAAAGGCACAGAAGCATTTGCCCAAAGCTACCCAGCAAGTCGCGTGGCAGAGCCTGTGGGCACCCCGTCTATCAGAAAGGGCTCCACGGCAGATCAGATCCCACTGCCCTAGAACGACTCATCACATTCAGAGGAGCCCATTTTCTTCCAGACTATTTTTAAGCAGCTAAGAATTCGGAATGCCCAGAGGAAAGGAATGTTCATAAAATTCCTCAAAAGAAAGTTGCCATGGAGATTGGCTATTGATCAACATGGAGAGCCATCTGCAAAGCTCACATTTAACAAACTATTTTTCTTTCACATTTTTTTCAAAAGTTAAACCAAATGTCCTATCTGCCTTTCTACTCTTTTTTTTAGAGAAAATTAATCTTTTGCTTAGATCAAAAGCTGCTGTGCTGTCACTCGTCCTTGAAGAAGTGGATGTGGTGCATATTCATAGCATTTTGACGGGTTAAACCAATGCAGAGATGCCCTCCACTGTGTTCCTAGCTTACCTCTGACTCACAATCAGAGCTCAGGCAGAGTCAGTAAATCGCCAAATTCTGGGAGGCAACCTAGTGAAGTGGAAAGACACTTGGGCTGAATTTTCACTCCTCTTTTGACTTTCTATGGGGTTTTGGCTGAGACACTTTGCCTACCAAAGGCTCAATTTCATACCACAAGATGGGATATTTTGAAAAGATAAAAATAGAGTCACAGGTGAACATGTCTGGCAGATGTTAGGAGCTTAATAAATGAGAATTTATTTTTTTCTTCAGTCTCAATACAAAACCATGAGAATGCTTCTGCTCTATAGGTTTAACTGCCACCAGAGTACTTTGGAATGGGAGCTCTGGTCATCCTCATCACAAAGACCCCATGCTGAACACAGACAACGCCTCTCTGCATTTTTAAATGGCTATTTGTTTCATCTTCAGAGGAGCTAGTTCGTATGTAAGAATAATAGCTCTTCCCACACTAGGAGAATATTGTAGCCTGCAATGTTTCATAAATTCATAATGAGATGTATTCTTGACATCTTAACTGCAGAAAGAAAGTCAAGATTACTTTAAAACTAGAGGAAACAATGCTTAATAACGAAGTAAAATATAGCCATATCCAAGCTGGGGGATCCCAGGGCAAAACACCAAAAGAAATGGGATAAAATTCAGAAAAACAAACTTTGGACAAAAATATCAGGAAAATAAAGCTTAACCAGAAGGAATATTACAACACAACAATTTCCAAGAGAAGCAAGAAATAAAACACTGGTTGACTCAATAGGGCACACTAAAACAAGAAAAACCTCCTAAAACAGGAAAAAAGATAAGATTTTCATGTAGCCTACTAAGTTTTTGTTTTTCTGAAAAATATCTTTCAGCATTTCATTGTAGACTTGTATCTTCCCTATGATCTTTGAGTAGCACTGCTCAGCATGAATTTTGCTATTTTGCAGTTATTAGCAGATCCAAATGTCCGCCCCACCCCATCTACGAGATTAAGCCTTTTCCATGTTCACAGAAAGTCTCTTTGTAAATGAGTCATTTTTTTAGGAAAAAATTCCTCACTGCCAAATTGTAGGGTTGAAGAATACAAAATCAATTTAATTCTCTTCCATGATTCATAGTTACAATGATCCAGGAAAGATATATAGCATTGAAATAAAATCCTCAAATACACAAGGGTCACTATCTCTTCTAAGCCTGATACTAATAGTACCATAAAATATTCTTCCAAAGTAAATTCCATAATATACATTTTCTTTCAAACTAGTGGAAAGGGTAGATAAATTAGTCCCCTTTAATTTTTTTTTTTTTTGCAGTACTAGGGCTTGAACTCAGGGCCTTCACCTTGACCCACTCCACCAGCCCATTTTTGTGATGAGTATTTTCGAGATAAGGTCTCACAAACTATTTTCCTGGGCTGGCTTCAAACTGCAATCCTCCCGATCTCTGCCTCCTGAGTAGCTAGGATTACAGATGTGAGCCACTGGCACTGGCCCCTCTAATTATTCTAAACTTAAAACTGAGAATAAGATCCAGAGAAATAATTTAGGGGGAGCACCTCTCTTTGAAAAATGGAAGAATGTGATTTAATATTTAGTCTATTATATAATTTCCTTCAAAGTTTTCCCAAATTCCAACAGACAGTCTTTGGAACAAAGCTCACTCTGCAAGCCTTGATGCTAGCTAGCTCTCCTTCCATTCTCCACCATCATTCTTGAATATTTGGAAATAGCATCTTGTTTGGATTACACCTGAAGTTCAATGAGTCCTTCCTCAGAGCCTATCTTCTTATGCTCTCCCAGTTACTCTCTTCTGAACGAGTTCCTGTGCCTGCTAATCCTTCAAGTACAGATCCTAACCCAAATCCAACGCCGCAGAGGCAGGGGGTCATTCCTTCAGGGAGATGCTGCCATTCGCTGACTACACAGAAACTTGCATCAGCCATTCAAGCATCTCCCTCCCCACGTTACAATCTCTTTTCACCAAGGTTAAATAACATCTCATAGATAAGTAATGGCCACATAGACACTCTGGTTAAATCTCACTATGTTATAATAGCCCATACTCCAAACTCCTTCTTTTTGGATCTTCATGTCATCCAAATACTAAACTAAGTTCCCAGTGAAAGCAAGAAA